TCACTTCAGTGCGCGCCCCCACAGCACTCCGCCCTCTTCTACTTATCCCGATTGCACCCGGCTTCCTCCTCCGCCATTTCCATCCCGAAAGCCCCTGGTGCAGGGCCTCATCCCGGTTCACTCACCCCGTTACTGCTAGCTGCCACCGGCGCTGGCCCGCCCAGCTGCCCCCGACGCTGCCCGGCCAGCTACTCCCCATTCCGAACGCACCTGGCGGGTCCCCCCGGCCGGTCCCCCCAGCCGGGTTCATCCCCTTTCCTTCGCCCTTTATAGCTCGTTCCCCTGCTGTTCTCCTTCATACCTCTTCTCCTACCCTGCGCTCGCTGACGTCAAACGAAATCCGGCGCAGTACGTCCGGGCGGCATACACCAGTCTGGCCCACTCCGCCTCCCGTAGCGCTGTTATGCATGTCAGTCTCGCGCAGGGACCATATCCCCAGTCTAATCTTCTCTGTATCGTTCCAATTTTAACGGATGTCCCGAAGGACGTGGCCGGGGCAATTGCCCCATGACAGCCTCAAAGACCACTCGGCCTTTTCACCCTCCCCCCACGCACTTCTCCTGAATCACGTCCAGGTTCACTCCAGGACCCTTCACACATCATCCGTGCACAGGGGCTACGCAGATCTTCTCAATATCGGGCTACGCAGATCTTTTCAATATCGGCCCCATTCTTCCGAACGTCCCGAAGGACTTCCACCAGGGTCGAGCCCCATGTCCTCTCGAAGCCCGATCAGCCCTCCTTTGGGACCAGCACAGCCCCAAGCGAGGTCAGTTACCCGGCTGTCCTCGTAAAGTCCTGTCATCTAGACCCCGCCCACGGAGCTAAACCGCTGGGGTCCCGACCGGTTTCAAACCCGGTATCTGGCCCCAATGGTCCCCATTAATAGGACAAAAAAATTAAGTTAACCACAATGCTAAAGACAGACCGGGGCGGCCGACGGGGTGCAAGCCGTGGTCCCTATCAGAGCCCCTTTCGACCCTGCGACGCAGACCCGCGGTCAGGACTTCCTCAACGGCTCAAAAGGGGGACAGTCCCACGGGACCCTCGACCCCTCCACTCCTCACTGCTCCATTATTCCCACGCCGCCGTCTGCTGGCCTCAAGCCCTAAACCTCCGTCTCTCAAGCCCGATACCGTAACCAATAGGGCTATGCCCAAGCCTGAGACCAGCGCCCGCAGAGTACCATACAAGGCAGTGCGGCGCCGCGCTTTGGGCCAACAAACCGGCTGCGCGGCTCCCAGTGCCTGTGCCGGCTTGCTTATACCGTGCCATAATTGCCCCGCGCGCCACCCTACGACACCCCGCTCACCGCACGAAGTCGCGCCGTTGTTGCCGATGCCGTCGTCGGGGTCGTTCTCCGCGCGAGTGCTCGACTCGGTCAAACGTATCCATCGAAAGAACATATCCCCTAATTCCCGCTTAGTCAAATATAAATAAATATTAATAATACCATTAAACAAACGACCGATGATCAACAACACACACGAATCACGCGCGCCTTAAACCTGCGCGCCTACGCACTCTCTACTGCTAGACATCCTAGTCAAACTTTCAGCCAATAGACTGCTACAACTCACACAGTCTACTCGAAAATTCCAACTCAACTTATTCTCTGTCACTTGCAAAAACCACGGCAGATACCCTTGTAAGGGTATTCGCGCCGACACCGCCCAGGAGTGTAACCAGGAGGAATTCAGGGGAGACTACGTTCTTTGCTTCAGAGGCTGGACTATGGTGCGCCAGGAGATCCCGCTGCGACCATCCACAAAATTCCCCGACCCCTTCCCACCCCACCAGCTGGCAATGGTCGATATGAAATGGTATGGAGCAGAGTGCGCAAGACCACAGGTAAGGAAGCAGCAGGTCAGCAAACAGGACACGGAAGGTATCGGCAGGTATCCAGAAGAAGTAGGAAGTAGCCGCTTGGGAAACACGAGGGATCTGGCGGTCAGGCGCAGACTGAAGAGGCCGCGCGCTGAAGTGTACTGCTGTCCGACATACTTATCATTAACCCTGCACAGTTAATCCCCTGGAAACAGGGCAATCAATGCTGGCAGGCAGGCTGTTGGATGTACAATGCAACTCTGGACCCGCTTTCCAGCAGGTGCTGCTCCCCACCAATAGGCCGGAGCACCCAGGTCTCTTGCTAGGAGGGGTTGCTCTAATCACCTCCCCTAGCAAAGGCACTGGGGTAAATTTCAAAAAATAAATAAATAAATAAATAAAATTCATAGCAGAATTAATTCATAGCATCACACGGATGGTGACGGACCAGACAATGAACACAAGGCAGACTCGCATTTCTGGGTGGAAGACGTATCTTCTGAGGAGCAGTTCATGTTCAATCGACCATTCCAGGAGAAGGCCTCACATTTTGCAAATACACAACAAGTCCCAAGATGAACCCACTACCATCTTCACCCAAATACAATGCCCGGTCATTATCGATGCATCTGGACAGAAAATTGCCCCAAATACAGCTATAATGACCAGGCGTTCTATTCAGGTGAAGACGGTAGCAATCGAGCCTACGACCTTCCGCCACAGAGGAGGAACACTTGACCAATAGGAAAAGTGAGCTGGGATGAAAGGGACGCCCCTTGACGGACATTTCCTGCCCCCCCCGCCATCCCCCCCCCCCAAGCATGGAGTACCCCACGTCCCGGTGTACCCAGACTCCACTCAACCCATGTTGATGAATCAGAAAAGTAAACCATAATCAGAAAGAAGTCTTTATGAAGCACATCCAGCTTGCAATGAGTGTGACCTGTGCTAGTACCGATTGTCTTGCAATACGGCCATAAGTCCGATCCTAGCCACTTGATCTACTAATCCACTAGAGCAGCAGGAGGGGAGGGAGAGGAGAATGACTAATGGAACACGATTGAATGGATTCACAAATAGATAAGGTGATATTGTGCAGACTATGTTCTCTCTCACCTGTACCATAAACTTATGGGGGGCAACTGTGGAGGGGCAACTTCTCTTGTAGATATGGAAACACTTTTTTTTTTTTTTTTTTTTTTTTTTTTTTTTTTTTTTTTTTTTTTTTTTTTTTTTGCAAGTAGTTAGTATGATCTTTTTTTTTCTATGAATTGGTGGCAAGTTTTTTTTTTTTTTTTTTTTTTTTTTTTTTTAAACACTGACGCGGAGAGGTTGGGCAAAGCGCTTGGTCGATCGAGCGTCTGTTGCTTGGTTGTACATTTGTGGGTTGATTGTCCGAATGATCCAGAATAGGCAATCGCTCATGCGCCTATTCAGAATAGGCAAGTTGACAGTAAGACGGTTCACAGCAACTGCACCACAGTGGCAGACCGAAGGAGGAGGAGGAGGAGGAGGAGGAGGAGGAGGTGGTTATTCTCTTATCAAACACATCATCACGGAGTTAATATTGTTAACAATATATGGATTAAAATTCATTAAATATTAAAATTTAAAACAATCGACGAGTAATAGGAAGTCAAACAGAAAGTCGCCCAGATAACCTTTTTTTCTTTTTTCCAATTTGGACCTTTTCTCAATTAATGTGTGTCGTCCTTGCGCAGGGGGCATGCTAATCTTCTCTTTCTCTGTATCGTTCCAATTTTAACGGATGTCCCGACGGACGCGATTACTGTCGATTCCAACTTCATGTTCTCAAGTTGCAGAGCACAATCTGAACCGAGGCAATGTTTCTGGATTCCCTCCGCCTTAAAAACCACCCACCATTAAGTACACCCGTGCCTGGAGGCGCCTTTTACTGCACGCCAAGCTTTTTTCCCAACCACCAGCGGCGGCGCACTTTCTTTCTTTCTTTTTTGGCTGGCGCCGCCGAGCAGCCACTGTGGTCCCCGGTAGCCGCGCAAGCCTCCAAAATTTTTGTAGGCGACGAGTTGCATTGTCAGCAAGGCTTATGGGACCGTGTACTGGCGGTTTTGAAGCCTTGCGTCCTCACGGGGCAACTGCTCGGCAACGTTCACTGCCGTTCCAGACGGTGACGATAGAAGCAAGCAGGTTTTGGTGTGTGGTACGAACGGCGTCGCCGGAGGGAGGGGAGGGGGGAGGGGTTGGACCTGGCTTGGTGGGACCTGGTTGTACGGTTACTTGTCAATCTCGCCGTTGAGTGGTTTTCTTCTCTCATGGAGTGGTGCACTTCTCGATGACGTGTGTACATGATTGTGTGCATTTCATCCTCAACCAGGTTTTTTTTGACCAGGTTGTGGGACTTTTTTTTTTTTTTTTTTTTAGTCTGACCAGTTGGCCAGATACTTACCAGATTTTGTAGCAGGCTTTGACCAGGTTGTGGTACTTAGTCTGACCAGTTGACCAGATGCTTACCAGATTTTTTTCATTTTG